CAGGTCGAGGCTGCGGTGGCCGGGAGCAGCCACTGCACTCCAGTCTGGGCGACTGAGTGAGACTCCAACTCAAAAAAAAAAAAGAAAAACATTTTTGAATTCATATGTTATTATGAATGGATTATACCTAAAGAAATGTTTTTTGCCCTACTTCCTGAATTGTTTCTTATAATCAGACTGTAGGTTATATTTTTCTTATGATTTATTACCTTTAATTATTTAACTTGTTGAACATATATCTCTTAGGAGATACTTTTCTTATGTCTTTTTCTCAAGAATTCTGAGGAAGTAGTCAATTATAGAGGTCACAGTTTGGAATGTATTCGTTTGTTGATTGATTTTCGTTTTTCTTTTTTTTTTTTTGAGTTGGAGTCTCACTCTGTCACCCAGGCTGGAGTGCAGTGGCATGCTCACAGTCACCGCAGCCTTGACCTGCTGGGCTCAGGCGATCCTTCTGCCTCAGCCTTCCTCAGACGTGTGCCACCAAGCCTGACTAATTTTTTTATTTACTGTAGAGATCAGGTCTTACCAAGTTGCCCAGGCTGGTCTCGAACCCCTGGACTCAGGCAGTCCTTTCGCTTTGGCCTCCCAAAGTGTTGGGATTACAGGCTTGAGCCATCACGCCTGGCCTGTTAGTTGTTTTCATGTATAAGTGTATCTTTGCATAAATCCTTAGCATATATTGTTTTAACAATTGTTTATTTTAAATAACAGTGAGGTATAAGAAAGGGATCTTATAATTGGTTATTTTCTACATGTATTATGTATTGCCTCTTTTTCTTGCATCTCTTCTAAAATGATATCATTCTGTTCATAAATCTGGGGATAATTAAGTAAAATGCTATATTAGTAGTCATTTATTTATTCCATACCTTGCTCCATAGAGTATTTGAGTCAGTTCATAACAAGTTCATAAGAACTAAAGTAGTTATATAAATAGAAAATCAGTATGAGGGGAAATATAAATAGAAGTACCATATTCAAACCAGATAAAGAAAATGACAGTAGTCAAACATCAAATTTGATTCTTAGCTTCCTGGAAAAAAAATGAAATAAAGGTCACAAAATAGTTTTCATTGTAGATTTTAAAAAATAAAAGCAGGGCCAGTTGGAGGTCCAAACTTCATCTGCATACAGCCTACCTATGTAGTTAATCCTCACTTGTACCCCACATTTCTATAATAAAATAAAATAAAAATAAAGTCACACACACAAAAAATAAAAGCATACCCTCAGGGAAATCAGAGTTCCTTTTGAGATATATATATATATTTTAATTGAGTCAGAATCTCACTTTATCACCTAGTCTAGAGTACAATGGCATGATCTCCATTCACTGCAACCTTGACCTGGGCTCAGGCAGTCCTTCCACTTCAGCCTCCTTGTTTGCTGGGACTACAGGCCTGCACCACCACATTCAGCTAATTTTTTGATTTTTTTGTAGAGACAGGTTCTCTATGTTGCCCAGGATGGTCTCGAATACCTGGGCTCGAGTGATTGTCCTACCTTGGCCTCCCAAAGTATGAGATTGTAGGCATGAGCCACCATACCCAACCCCTCTTTTGAGTTTTTTTCAAAGAACTCTTCTATGGGTAGTACTTTATATTAGGTGCAGAGAATGTGTGTTTCTAGAACATCAACACCTGTGACACATGTAGTCATGATTGTCACGTGACTTGATGAAAGCTGTTGGACATACATTGAAATACAACTTAGTAAAGGTAGTTTTGAAAACAGCTAAGGTAGGTTGATCTAAATATGTAATCCACTAAGTTTTACAGAAGCCCAGGTTGGTATTTCTGTTTTGCCTTAGCAGTAAAGCGGTAAGTTCAAGATCTTGCCAGCTTTGCCGTGTTGTTGGTTTCTGCCTGTGAGCTGTCAGTTTCCTAAGTGCATGTGAAAGTGTTTCACTAAATATGTTAACACAGCCAGGAGCGTCACCAGGCACAGCAAATTTTAAGATGACACTTGGTTAGATGGTATGAGATGGATAAGAATCATGATGGTCTTAATCTTCGACATTCTATTGCTCCTGCTTATTGTTTGACATACTAACCTCTATGCAAAAACAAGAATACTTTAATTTTCTGAGTTTTCTTAGTTAAATGAATGGGTTTTATTTATAATTTTTATCTCTTGCAATAGAAAAGGCAGTATTATTGCATAGTAATTTATTTCATTTGTACGATGTGTAGTTGTCCTCTGAATTGCTTTGTGAATATTTTACAAAAAGTCTAAGTAAATTAGTCTTGTCTAAGACTTCAGTCACACCTTCAAGAAAATAAGTATACGTTGTTTTTCTTTTTTGTTTCCTTTTCTCTCTTTCTCTCTCTCTGTCTCTGTCTCTGTCTCTCTCTCTTTTTTTTTAGAGACAGGGTTTCATCTGTTGCACAGGCTGGAGTGCAGTGGCAGGATTAATAACCTCGAATTCCTGGGCTCAAGTGATTTGTTTTCCTTTTGTTAGACTTTTGTTAGTATTTTATTTTATGGTAAGAATAATTTTTATTTCTAGGTACTTGTGAGTCAGCTTGAGACTATGGCTAGGTAAATGGGAAAGAAGATAGGCTATGACTACTGCATATTTAAAAGATTAGTAGAAGTAGTTTAAGTACTTCTGTATAAGTACTATAAGATTTAAGTTCTATATTATTAAGATTCTATATTTGTTAAATTCACATATTTACATGCTTTGAAGTTAGTAGTATTACTACAAAATTCTCCTTCTGTTAGATTAATTATTAAGTTGTACTGCTGATCCAACTTAAGGATAGAAAAACATAGCTGATGTATTAATGTATTTTAGATATCCACTTAGGTAATAATAACTCGATGGCCTGTAAGAAGTGCAACTTTTTCCAAATAATAGAAGTAGTTTATGTTGTAGAATCATTGCACTTGAAACACAAAGTGTATGAGGTTACTCAGAGAAAATGATCATATGCTCCACATATACCCCACATTTACTCAAACTTAATCCCAGGCCAAAGCATTCCACACCCCACCCTTTTTCATTTATTATCCTTTTTAGCTATGTTCTCCTGCTCTTGACCATGGTCTTTCTCAGATAATCCAGGACTCTTCCCTGGCAGCAGCCCAGGGGCTGTGGTGAGGGTGGGCAGGTGGGTAGGTGGGAGTGGAGAAAATGGAAAGGTGAGGGCAGGTTGCTTTAATCTACTTCCACCATCACTGCTAACAATGGCTAAGAGTTGTCTATACTTCTTGTTGACAAATGAAAATTTATATTTTGGAAAACATTTCTTTAGATTCCAGAAGGAAATTCATTGGAAAAACAAAACAAATAACAAAGAAGAAAACAAATTTATAACAGGGGCTTACACGGTGCTGTTTTTCTAAGATTCATCCATATTGTTGAATGTAGTGTTAGTGTATTTGTTTTTCACTGCTGAAAAATATTGTGTTATAAATATATGCTGCAGTTTATGCATTTATTCTGTTGTCATTGTACATTTGGGTCATTTCCAGTCTTCTGATATTATATGCAAGTTCCTCAAAGGTATACAGCTAGGAGTAAAATTGCTAGGTCATACAGAATGTGAATAGTCAACTTTATAAGAAAATGCTGGAGATGGGAGGGGGTGGAAAAAAAAAGAAAATGCCAAATTGTTTTCCAAAGTGGTTATGCCATCTTTCAAAGCCTGTTGAATCACTCACTCTGCAGCACTTGGCATTGCTACACTAAGTTTTACAAATCTAGTTAGTGTAAAGGATGTCACATTGTATCTTAATTTACATTTCTCTGACTATTAATGAGATTGACTATCTTCAAATATTTTTTCATCTTCTGCATTTCCTCTTCTGAACTCAACATGAGTTCATACATCTGTTTTTCTATTGAGTTATTTCTTTTATTGATCTGAAGAGTTATTTTGTACACTCTAATAGATGAAAATTCTTTGTAATTTTTATTGTTTATAAATATCTTTTCCCAGTTTGTATCTTGTCTTTTTATTTTCTTAATGAGGTCTTTCGTTTACCATTTCTTAATTTCTGTGTAGCCAAATCTCTTTCTCTTTTTTTTAATGGATATTGCTGTTTTTTATATTAAGAAATTCTTCCTTTTACTAGGATCAGAAAGATATTATCATATATTTATACATTCCTATCTCTAGAAGTTTTAAGACCATAGTTAAATGGAGAAAAGTATTTTGCCATGTTGCTACAATTTATTAAAAATATTTAGCTTATATTAGCTTTGTGTGAAAATATACATTGGAAAAGAAATATTTCAGTATTTTTTTTATCTCCACCAAGAATTTTCATTCTCTTTTAAATTAGGAAAGCTTCTATGACAGTTATAGCTTGCCTGATAAGTGTTTTCTCTGAGATATTGGTCCTAACTGATGATATACTGTTTTGGGCTTAACTATTCTTTCATCATTTCGTATGATAGAGTCAGAATTTTCACAATCTAAAGGGATTTTGTGAGCATATGATCCAATTTATATTTTAAAATGAGGAAATGGGGTCCAAAAGAGGCTCACAGGTGACTTGTTCAAATGCCTGTAATATAAAGTAGGTGAGCTTATGCTCAGGTGCGAGTTTTTTTAGTTCAATTCTGATCTTCCTTAGGCTGCATCACACTTTGCCCCTTTCTGTGAATCATAAGGATCCATGCCATCTCAGTTTCCTTTCACTGCTCTTCTTCCCCCTCTATGATCTAGCATGCCAGCCAAGTGGTGTACAAGAAGAGTAAGGGGAAACGGAATCTTCCCTCTTTGACGCTTCCTTTCTCTCTTTCTTTACATGTCTAATGAGTGTTTGCTATGTACCAGGTACTAGGAGTATTTAAACAAGATACCATATCTGTCTTCAAGGAGCGTCTAGTTTATTAGAGGAATTAACAAGTAAATAGACACATTTCAGTGTTATAGGTATAAGCAGCAGAGCTAATCACAGGGAATTCTGGAAGCATGTAGGAGGATACCTACCTTGGTCTTGGTGAGTCAGGGTCGCTTCATGAAAGATATGATCTCTGGGTTTACTTTTAAGGTATCCATTTACCAGGACTAGATAAGAAGTGCTGGTTATTAAATAGTTATCAGTACAGTCCCTTTGATTAGAAATAACTGATTTTCCTTAGACTTGTTTTATAGCTTTTTTTTTTTAGCTGTCTTGGTTTTTCCAAGGGAACTGGTCTTTGAAAAGTCTGGAAAGGACTTTTTTTTCCAGGATTAGTATTATTTATACCTCTCGAGGCTGTGACCCAGTGTAGTCAGTTAGAGTAGAAGCTCAGATAACTCTTTTTTTTTTCTTTTTCTTTTTTAGAGTCGAGGCCTCACCATGTTGCTCAGGCTGGTCTCAGACCCGTGAGCTCAGGCAGACCTCTCGCCTACGCCTCCCAAATTGCTGGAATTACAGGCATAAGCCACCATGCCCGGCGAGATAACACTTTTTTATTTGCACCAATATAACAAAATTAGTACATCTTAGAACTTGGAATTATGTTTGTTAGAATTTCTGACTACCTTTTCAGACTCTCTGGTGTCTAAAAGTACTTAAGGGCCCCATCAAAGGAGGTAGTAGCCATAGCCCTCTTGACAGGGGAATATAGCACATTTTTATAAAGGATGGATGGGACTAAATGTTGCCTCATAGGACTTTGCTGGGCTGAACTATGGGAAGTTAAATTAGTGAATTCTATTAAGCTAAATAAAAAATTGATTCCTAAAATAACAGTATTACTATTAAGCAGCAGTAAATTGTAATTTTAGATGAGTTTTGGTCACTGTTTTATGCTTTGGTTATGATAGCTATCCCTAAATTCATGACCAAAATGAAAGTTTTTCTAGAGGGTTTTTCATTGATGGGGCTTTGACATCCTGATATACAGGTCTTCTATAGCTTAATATAAAACTTTTAGAACAATATCAAAATGAAACCAAGCATTATTGTGTCCAGTGTACTTTAACAGGTATATGTATATATTGTCACGTACTAGGAGCAGGATATAGAGAATTTATTCTAAACTTAGAACTGGTGGGGCATGGTGGCTCATGCCTATAATCCTAGCACTTTGGGAGGCTGAGGTAGAAGGATTTCTTGAGTGCAGGAGTTCGAGACCAGCTTTAGCAAAGTAGCAAGATCTGGTCTCTACAAAAAATAAAAAAATTAGCCAGGTGTGATATAACATACCTGTTGTCTCAGAAACTCTGGAGACTGTGGTGGAAGGATCACCTGAGTCCAGCAGGTCAAGGCTACAGTAGCTATGATCATGCCATTGCACTCTAGCCTGGCTAACAGTGAGACCCTGACTGAAAAAAAATAATAAAAAAAATTTTTTAAATGCTAAAAGTAGCTCCTGTCACACAGATTTTTTTTTTAAAAGTTAAACAATTCCTTTACAATTGGAGAAATTGGTTGTATACTACCTTAGCCAAATGACCCAATTTATCTCTAATGATAGAACTGATTATGACTCCTGCAATGATACATCCAAAAGGACACAACATTGCCTATGCCTTCACATTGCCAGAATCTAATTGTGAGGAGACACATAAAAAAACCCAAACTGAAGGATATTCTACAGAGTTCTAGATTAAAACATAGTTATAAAGGACACGGTCATATTTAATTTAGATGAACATAGTATACAATATCGATTGACTTTTTAATGTTACACCAACCTTGCATTCCTGACATAAATCCCATTTGATTGTCTTATAAAATCCTCTTTATATATTGCTGAATTCCGTTTGCTATTATTTTGTTGATTACTTAAGTTCTAAAAGGATCCTTTGGCTGCTTGGGTTGAGAATAGTGAAGATGAGGGTGTAGTAGACCAGTCCTTTGAATTTCCCCAAAAGCCTTAGGCTAGAACATTCAAGTGTCTTCTTAATGTGAAAACAGTTGATCTGCAGGCTTTTCTTATAAAGTATTAAGAAAATACTTCCCAACCTTTATGGTTCCTACCAATTGTGAATCAATGGAGAAAATATTTGTATTCCTTGATATAGATTCTTTCATGTTTGATTACAATTAAAATAATGGAAGGATAACACAATAGTTCATCAATAGAAATTGTTATTTGAAATAGTATTTTTGTATGTTGGTGTTTGTTCATCAATTTAAAGATATATTTTTATTATAGGGGCCAAGTTTAGAAAATATATTGGTCATTCAGCTCACGTAACTAATGTCAGATGGTCACATGATTATCAGTGGGTTATTTCTATTGGTGGAGCAGATCACTCTGTGTTTCAGTGGAAATTTATTCCTGAAAGAAAATTAAAAGATGCTCTTCATATTGCACCCCAAGGTGAGTAGTACACACTGCCTAAGCAAGTCCCCTGTCGAACAACTTTTTAGTAACCCCAAATAACAATTTTATACTGAAGTGTAATTTAGCCTCCTAAGTTAGTAGTATACCTTGTTATTAGTAGAAATTTCAAGTTAAAATATTAGGTATATATGTCAGATTTCATAGCATGCAGAATACAAAGTACTTGCAATTGCATTTTAATCCGTCAAATGATGAGTGAAGAGCAAATGTTTGTTTGTTAGCAAAATAAACATTTAATGCATCCTTTGGAAGATGTATATCTAGGTTTCATACATGCATCTTTTTGACAAAGAAAAATAAATGTCAATTCATCTGTTGTGCATAGTGTTTTGTAGTTATTTTTCATGTTAATGGTAGGTTATATTCACTTATATTTGCACAGACATTTAAATTTGTCATTGGGAGGCCAGTGGAGGGATTTAAAGGAGTTATTGAGTTTGCAGTGAGTGGAAGATAATCTGTAGTACAGTTTTCTGACATCTGTGTCACTTGAATAGGTAATGTCATTTGATTGTTTCGTGGCTTGTCTCCAAGTCAGCTCACATAGTCAGTTCTTAATCACTAATTTTACAGTGCTTTTTGAAAATGAGTCTTCTTTAAACGAGTAACATTTCATTTTTTAAATTGCAGAAAGTCTGGCTGACTCTAATAGTGATGAATCAGATTCAGATCTGTCTGATGTTCCAGAATTGGATTCTGAAATTGAACAAGAGACCCAGCTCACCTACCGTCGGCAGGTAATTTTCTATTATCCTCTAATTTTTCCCTGAGAAGTCCAATTTCTTCTTTATCTTGATCCCTGCCAGTCATCTGCTGTTATCTTTTGTGGCTTTAATTTCCCAAGCAATGTATGCATATTTCGGTTCTCCCTCTAAGTGTAAAGTTAAAGTTTACTTGTGTAAAATGTTCTTTTATATGAAATGCTTGATATATTCATTATGCTTGCATTCTATTTGCTTATAGACTTTTGTCACAGTACAGTCACATTTATTTCCTTACAAATGTTCTCTTATTAAGTATAAAGATTTTCTGTAACACTATGTATTTGTCAGTATGATATGTAGAAAATGTGAATTAGTTTGTTCTTTCCAAAGAAGTAAATTTTATAAAGTACCTTCTCATTTAAGACAGTTGTTACAGCTGATTAACAGTAACCACAATGTCTGAAAGTTATATTAGAAGTGTATAAACACCTATATTGATATATATTCTTAGAATATTTCTTCGTATATATTTTTAAAAGGTTTACAAAGAAGATCTACCTCAGCTTAAAGAACAATGCAAAGAGAAGCAAAAAAGTGCTACTTCCAAAAGAAGAGAGCGTGCTCCAGGAAACAGTATTCGATTACACTTTGTTCATGGGTATCAAACGACTATTTTTTTCATTTTTGTATTTGAATTTTGGTTCACACTTACCAGCTGTGTGACTTTGAACAAATCACTTAACTTTTCAGTACTTCTTTTTCTGGGTAAAATGGAGATAATAATGTCTATCTCATAAGGTTCTGATGAGGAGTAAATAAGGCAGTGCTAGTGGAGACTTGCAGTATTGCTCTTTCCTGCCCTTCAGCCAGCACTCATTTTCTTACCTGACTGATACTTTTCAAGAATTTGAAAAGAGATTTATTTAGATAAAGTATTTTTTTTCTCCAGCCTTAAAACAGGCAATATTTCTATGCAGTTGTATTTTATGAGTGGGGTTGGTTGTTATAAATGTAATTATATTGAACACTTTAGGTTTTGGCTAATTTTTTTGGATAAGTAAAATATTTTAAAACTGTTGTTTAAGCTTACTTTTGAAATACATGTAATAGTCATATATATTATGCTTTCATATGTAGTTATATATATTATACTTTCTGCAGGCAAGTTCATTACTTAGTTTCAGAAATACTTATGCATAGACAAACAAATGCAAATATATATTATTTATCTTTTACTTATAAAAATCAGCTATTTTTGTTTTATAGTATACAAATTGAATATTATACTTGTAGAAACAGTATGTACTCTCCGTACATTAATGTACCTTATTTTTTCACTCAATATTATAGCTTACATTTAGCTATTTATAAACAGAACAGTTCATAAAAGTTTATGGGAGCTGAGATAGTGGTATTTTAAACAATTGTTCAATATCCTGTAAAACTGGAAATTGAATTTCCGGGAAGCAAAAAGCACCTACTGCTCTTCTGTGTATTCTGTTTTAATCATATACAAGACCAAAATTAATTATATATTATTTGTTTTCTGTGTTAGTTACAGAGGTTATGACTGTCGAAGTAACCTATTTTATACTCAGATTGGTGAAATTGTGTACCATGTGGCAGCAGTGGGTGTCATTTATAATCGGCAACAGAACACACAGCGTTTTTACCTGGGTCATGATGATGACATTCTCTGCCTGGCTATTCATCCTTTGAAAGACTACGTGGCAACAGGCCAGGTAGGTTCCTTTGAAAGACTAAGTGACAAACCAGATAGGTCAGACCATTGTTTGAGTTTAAAGATAAATTAGTCTAATATATATTGTGTTCTAGGAAATGAAGAAGGTTTAGAATTGATTTTATTTCATAAAAATAAAATATACCCTGGTTTTATTGTTTTAACTATTATTATTTGAATTTGGAACTAAGAGCTCATTTTCTTTCTGACACAATATTAATTTTTTTAACTTGTAAGTAAAAATTAGAGAAAACATAAAGACTAGAAGTCTTTCTTTAGGTTTAGTTGCCTAAAATAATATAATACATTACTTAACTGGTGTTCTGTGACAGAATGCCTATTTTTAAATTTTGCAACCATGATAGCAATCTGTTCATGTTCACCAAAAAATTATGGACTTTGCAGCAACTTGGATGGATTTAGAGTCTATCATACTCAGTGATCTATCACAGAAACCAAAAGCTGAGTTCCACATGTTCTCACTCTTAAGCAGATCCTGAACATTTACTATAATACTATAAGAAAGGGTTTGGCAGTACTGGAACACTGCCTGGGGGGCAGCGGGCGTGCAAATAACATCAATAAGCGTACTTGATCTCAAACCACGAGAAGTGGAGTCCAAAGGGGGGAGGCCAAACTTTACCTATATAAAATTTTTGTCTACCTTATCTACCTGATCCTGAATTATATCCTACATCTTTAAAATAAATAAATAAAAAGAAAGCCTTGAGAAGAGCCATAAGTGACACCTCTCTGTAGGGTATTCTGCAAGACAGGAGGAAGAAGTAATGTGGACTAGGTTCTTACTGTCTAGAAGCACTTCACTAGTTTATTGATGTCTGTATGCTTTCTTTTCTCCTTAGCCCTGTAAGAGTGAAATCATTTCCCCCAGTCTACAAATGAGGAAGTTTAGGATTAGAGAAGTTAAATAATTTGCCCAAGAACCATCAGCTAACAAGTAGAAAAGCCATTGATCCGTCTGGCTTTAAATACTGTGTAAATTACATTCTACATGTACATGGGGGAGGCAACTGGCATCCTTCTAGACAGCTCTCCTAAAGGGAAAGGAAGCTCTCCCCTCCTTTCTCCTTCTCTTTCCTTCCCTCTCTTGTTGTCATTCCTTTGTCATCTTCCTTCTGTTAGCTAAAAAGCATTCATCAAGCACATTCTGTATACCAGTAAAAACAATAGGAACGTAAAGAAAAGATAAATAAGATATCTTCTTGCCATGGTGAAAACTGATATTCTGAGGGAGAAGACATATGTGCAAGAAAAATTATGACACATTATTATACGTGTCATCAGAGCTTCTCAACCTTAGCACTGTTGATGCTTTGGGCCAGATCATTCTTTGTTGAGGGAAGCTGCCCTGTGCATTGTACAATGTTGAGCAGTATCCCTGGCCTTTACCCACTAGGTGCCAGTAACACGTGCCGCCTGAGTTGTGATAACCAAAAATGTTTCCAGACAGTGCCAGATGTCCCCAGAGAGACAAAACCACCCTTTTTTGTAATATAGAGATGTGTGCAAAGTCTGGAGCAGTATAATAAAGAATTGATTAATTGTGCCCAGTAGAATTAGGAAAACCCTCATAGAGATGATGACATTTGAGTTGCGTGACTGACCTGGCAGAGGGGAAGTTGGGAAAAGCATCTAAGTCTGTTATGTCTTGTGTAGTAACAAGGAAAAAGAGAAGCGCAGCTGAGTTTTAGAGTCGTGAGTAACCCACAGCATTCAAATCTTGAGTGTATGATGGCTGTTAGCAGAAGAGCTGGTCAGAAGGGTGGGCGGGTCTCCGGGGTCCCATTCACCTTCAGTTTAGCATTTCCTCTTGAAGCAGAGCATGTGCCCATTTGCTAGGGCAAGGAAGCTCACCATTATTCTGGTGTTGCTGGATTGAAGACTGTAAAAGTGACCATTCACTACCATGATCCTGGGGTTTTAGGCAACTCAGGTCAGACTCAATAGAAAGCCAGCATGTAACAGGATATCTCTGGACACCCATCCATTCACAGCTCCTGGGCCCTGGCTTGGCTTACACACAGCATTTCTGTTTCATGCACTACACTAAGTCTTTCTCCAGGGTGGAGGCTCACTACGGCTTTCTACTCCTCCTGGTGTGTGCTACTCCTTTCCTGTGTTATGGTACAGTTAGCCAGGCCCATCTCTGGAAAGTCTCAGATGTCTAACATAAACTAAGTGGGTTAAAATTGTTCAAAATGAACAAAAAATCTTTGTTGAAAAGAAAAATTCTTCTGAAGTATTTTATCCAAGTGTTTTGAAATTGAGATGACAAACCTAAAGAGTGTTTTGTCTAATTTTGGTTTTGGAGAATAGAGTACAAAGACTGGTCCCTTGTCACGAACTGTGCTCTCAAGTGGGGATGAAAGACCTGGAAGAAGCTTGCCTGACAACTTATTCCTGCATTTCACCTTGAGTATCTTGACTCACTTATCATAATTTGGAAATTTTGTTCAATTCAGCAAATAATTGTTGAGAGCTTCGTATTCAAGAACATAAAGTCTTGTGGAGAAACACAAAGATAACTCAGACTGCCACTATCAAGAGCTCACAATCCACTACAAGAAGTGTGTGTGTATGTGCGTGTGTAAAATTTACCAAAAGTACACTCATTTAGGTGTCTTTGGGCAGTTCCGATTCAACATGTATGACATGGAGATAAATGGGATTACTCTTCCCTTCCAAGCCTCCTCAGCCTTGTATGTTTCCTTTTAGAACATGGTACCATATTAATGTGGTAGCCTAAGCCTGGAGTCAGTCTTCTTGTTCTTCACCCCTGTGGCCAATCAGTCCTGGAGTTACACCTATACTTTGACCTGAATATATCTTGATTCGTTACCTTGAATATTCTTGGCTTTGTTTTTAAAATTTTTCCGTATCTTTGCTGACAACCAGTGTTTCCTTGTTTCTGAACCATTGCTATAGCCAGTCAACTGGTCTCTCACCTTAAGATTTTTTCCCTTACCCATTTTTTTGATCTACAAATAATCTTTCTAAAAGACTTTCTTCTGTGTTTATAAGTAGTTCATAGGCTGTCTCAACTCATTGGCATGCAGTTCAAGGCATTTTATCTAGTCCAACTCTCTAGCCACCTCTTTTTATCTCTTACCATTTGCCTCCTTGTAAACCATACTTTTGCCTTAGGAGCTATTTAGAATGTGTCCAGTGTGTATAATGCTGTTTCACGTCTTTCACTGAATTCCCTCCTCTTGGAAAACTTCCCCTTCATATCTGTTTAACCCTTCTCCTTCTACTCCTCCTTTTAATACATAGGCTAAGTCTCCCTTTACCCCTGAGTGAGGTGCCCTGAGTGTGCTTTAATACTCCTCTGTCTGTACCTCAGCTAACACTGAATACGATGTTCAAATCCAAGTTCTTCCAAATATGAACTTTAGGCAGATTGCCTGATCTCCCTATGTCTCCATTGTTTCATCATTTATTTATTTATTTATTTGAAGTTCACAATCATGCCTTATTCATGACATTGCTTTTTGAGTTGTTTCATTCTTTTAAATAAGGCTGCCAGTGCCTATTTCATAGACTTGTGATTGTCAAACAACTTTGTAATGTGCTTATGATAGTTTATGGCACATAAATCAGTTATCAGTGAATGTTATCATCATCACCATTGTCATCGTCATTATCATCTACAGATGAGATGTCCAGTGGACAATTGAAAATGTAAGTCTTGGATTCAGAGAAGAAGCAACAGTTAGAGACTAGGACTTGGGAGCCACTTGTTGGCTTAACCATTGAAAATGGGAAAGTGAGGCCAGGCTCGCTGGTTCAGCCTATAATCCCAGCACTTTGGGAGGCCGAGGTGAGTGGATTGCCTGAACCCGTGGTGGGTTTGAGACCAGCCTGGGCAACTTGGTGAGACCTCGTCTCTACAATAAATCAAAAATTAGCTGGACATGGCGGCATGCATCTATAATTCCGGCTACTTGGAAGACTAAGGCGGAAAGATCACCAGAACCCAGCAGGTCGACGCTGGGGTGGCCATGAGTGTGTGTACCATTGTACCCCAGCCTGGGTGAAGAAGTGAGACTCCAACTCAAAAAAAAAAAAAAAAATGGGCAAGTGAAATGCCTAGAGGCAAAAATGCTGAATGAGAAGACTGGAGAATTAAAACCTGAATCTTGGGGGAAGTTTGTGTTTAAGTAGCAGATAATTAAATTGTGAAGAAAACATAGTATAGTAGTAAGAGTCAAGGAAACCAGAGAACTGGGAGAACGTAGTACTGTAAATCAGTCACATATATGGTCTGCTTTATATTTTTTATATGATAAATTACTATAGCAAATAAATCAAAGGCTGGAAAATCTCGTTTTATTTCCTTTATTTTAATCAATATGAAAATAAAAATTGTATATCATGACTTTTATAATTCTTTCTGTTTTAGGTAGGTAGGGATCCCTCAATTCACATATGGGATACAGAGACCATCAAACCATTGTCCATATTAAAGGGCTACCACCAATATGGTGTTTGTGCTGTTGATTTCTCAGGTAAGCCTGGTTTCTATCTCAATAAGAATAATTTAAATGCAGAGGCAATACATAGCGTTTTAATCTAAGTCAGTGTTACCTAAGCTTGTCATTTAGCTATGACATTTACAATTTTGTCAAATGTGTATACTGTTGTCCTAATCAAACACAACTATGAAAGTATGCGTTTGCTGGCTAGTTTATATAAATTCAATGAGCATAATTTTAATACCTATTAAAATTTACATGTTTCAACTAAAGTAAAATATGTTTGTCTACATAATAGCTGAAATCATCTTGGGCAAACACTAATCATCTCACTTAATGTTTTATAGCCAGAGAGTAAACTTTGAAAACGTTTAGGGTAATAGGCTAAGAAAGAGTTGAGAACTGAAAAACTTGTTTTAGACATTTCTATAAAGTAATGATATTAAGATGTCTTATAAAAATAATTTCAGGTCATGTTAGCACTTTGCTGTATATTTAAGTTTAATGACTACAGAGGAAAGCTAGGGTGTGGATTGGGATGAAAGAAGAAATACCATTAATGGGTAATTCTATATTAAGAAACAGTAAATTAGTGTTTTTGCTGCTGTGACTGAAGTGATAAGTTATCCATGGTAGAGTTTAGAGAGAAAATATGAATACACATTCAGGGATTTATAACAGTCAAGAAACCAGAAGTGAACTGCAAACTAAGTGGGTCACCAAGAAAAATACCACTTGAGCCATGAAGAGCTAACTGAGGCTTGCAGTGTGTGGCAGAGTGGAAAATACTTGGCTATGCTCTGAGCCTCACAGCCCATAAACATGCATACTCATCAACATGTCTCACCAGTCTTCTGTCTTGGCAATTTGTCTAATGTTCATCACATGTTGCTTGGTAATACGACCTACACTAAAAGCAGTCATATAGTAGCAGTATGTTGTAATTTACATGTTTTTCGTTTGACTAACTTTTCATAATGACTCTGAGTTCTTATGTTACAATAGAGTTCTTATCGTAGATTTTATTAAAGTCAGTCTTTTCTCACATCCCCTCCCTTCTTAATTTTTCCTTGCCTTCTCATTGTTTAATCTCTTCTTTCTATTTTTCTTATCTCCCTCACCCATCCTAACCTGATGGATAGGTAAGGTAAATGAGGTCAGGTGAGATAACAACCAGCTTATCTCAGAGGATTGGAGAAACTTTTATCCCCCTTATAAATTCTCATTCTTTTTATATAGCTGTGTGCATGCCTAGCATCTACATTATTTTACCAAAACTTAAATGTAGCATGGTTTTTACCTTCTGAATGTTAATGGTCGGTACATCTCTCTGATTGATTTTCACAGCGGATGGCAAGCGTTTGACTTCAGTTGGAATAGATGACAGTCACACTGTTGTGCTGTGGGACTGGAAGAAAGGAGAGAAACTTTCAGTAGCAAAGTAAGGAGAAAATTCGAAATTACATTGGCAAAACAATGGGATTACTTTGGACTTAAGCATTTTTAAAATTAAAACAAACTTGAAATAAAGCAAATATGTAGCATTTTTTTTGCTGCCATCTTTATATTACCATTGAATAAGTAATAGAACCATGGTAAAAGACAAATTATTTTAGATTTCCTTTGTAGATTTATTCCTTGTGAACTCACTTTTTAATGTAACCAGAATATAGCATTGGAAATAGCTGTTATCTGAAATCGTCATGTACAGTAGAGTGAATTCTATCATGTGATAAGCTATTATATAGCCATTGGAGAACATGATAAAATGCTCATGTATTTAAGTAAACAAAGATACATATATTAATCGCAAAGAAGTTATATTTTTATTTTCTTGTATTTTCCTTTATTTTCTAAGTTTCCACAGTGAACATGTATTATTTTTATAATAATAAAATATTAACTAGTCTTTGAAGGAGGAAATAGTCAACAACGTCAGAGACATTTTTTTAACTTCCCATTCCTTAAAGTGACATTAAAACACTATAGATAAAAAATGCCTTTTACAGAGTATATCGATAATGTCCAATTAATGATAGTTTAAGAGGAACTTTATAGTTGGAAAGGCTATACTGAGCTATAGCAAAGTACTGTTAAAAAAAGTCCTTAACTCATTCATGCACAACTAGCATTCCCTATGCACAGTACTATAGTCAGTAGCATACATGCTATTCCACAGAAGGCCACTTTCGATTGTCTCTACCTTTTGAGATTCTGTTGAGCAGACTTAACATATTAGAATGGTAAGAAAAGAGCAAATATACAAATGCATGACTGCATAGCCCAGCTTTGAGAGACACGGGTAGGAGACCTATGTCCAGTAAAAGGCACTTAATCAAGATAGCATATGAATTAGGCAAAAGATTATTATAGGAAAGATGAATTTTCAGAGCTAGAACACTTTGGTCTTTATTTCAGAGGAAGTAAAGAGAAGATTTTTGTTGTAAAGATGAACCCCTATGTGCCTGATAAGCTAATTACAGCTGGAATTAAACACATGAAATTTTGGCGCAGAGCAGGTAAGAAAGTGCTTCATTTTACTCCTTTGAAATTTAAGAAATTATTCATCTTGAAAGTAAGTGCAATGTGATACCCTAGATTGGCTTCTGGAACATAACAAGATTGTTAGGAGAAAAACAAATGAAATCTGAATAAAGTCTGGAGTTCGGCTGATAGTAATGTATCAACATGTTGGTTTCTTAGTTTGACAAATGGGTTATGGTAATGTAAGATGTTAACATTAGCAGAAGCATTAGTGGAAACTGGATGAGGGATATAAGAGAACATTGGACTATCTTTGTGTCTTTTCTAGAAATCTAAAATTATCCAAAATAAGTTTATTTTTTAAGTGATTTACTATAGTCTTGATGCATTTCAACAAATGTAAATTTTATTTTATTGCCATATATTGGCTGCTTTTATGTGAATTCATATTTGCAAGTTGATATAATATATAAGCTTAATCAAGAGTAACCACGTTCAGGTCTCCTTTCGCTGTGGGAGCTTTTCTGTCTTCTTAATAAATCCTGCTTTCTCAAAAAGAAATTTTTTTAATCAAATGATGTCCAGACTCCTTCCTTCTGTTTAAGATGTGTTTTGTAGTCTAAACTGAAAATGAAAAATTTCATAAAAATAATTTATATGCAGCTGGGCGTGGTGGCCTGTAAATCCCAGTACTTGGGAAAGTGAAGGCAAGAGGATCACTTGAGGTCAGGTATTTGAGACCAGCCTAGGCAACTACCCTGTCTCCAAAAAAAATAAAAAATTAGCTAGGTGTGGTGGTGTGCACCTGTTGTCACAGCTGCTCTGGAGGCTGAGATGGGAGGATCACTTGAGTTCACCAGGAGTTCAAGGCTGTAGGGAGCTAGGATCACATGACTACACTCAATCCTGGTCAATAGAGTGAGACCCTGTCTTAAAAAAAAAGTTTTAAAATTTTTATATGCTATAAAATGATATAAAAGTGGAATGTTATATATTACTTTAGTAATTTGTAACTGTAAATTACACTATAAGTTGTGGAAGAAGTTCACAATTTAAAATAAAAAACATTATCTCTTTTCTGAATAGAATGTTATACTTATAAATTCCAGCAATATGATATTAAAATTTCAGAAAAAACATAAACATAGGATGAAGTAAAACTTTTATTAGAAAAGAATAAGCTAGCCGGGCTCGGTGGCTCAGCCTGTAATCCCAGCACTTTGGGAAGCTGAGGTGAGTGGATTGCCTGAGCCCGCAGATTCGAGACCCACCTGGGCAACTTGGCAAGACCTCATCTCTACAATAAATCAAAAAATTAGCCAGGCGTGGTAGCACGCGCCTGTAGTTCCAGCTACTTGGAAGTCTGAGGCGGAAGGATCGCCAGAGCCCAGCAGGTCGAGGCTGCGGTGGCTGGGAGTGGCCACTGCACTCCAGTCTGGGCGACAGAGTGAGACTCCAACTCAAAAAAAAAAAGAAAAAGAAAAAGAAAAGAATAAGTTTAGTGAAGACATTTCTTAAGTTCAAATAACTTTCAAGTTGTTAACTACACAGGACATGAATTAATTTGCAGACTTGGATTTAATATTTGATCACAAACTCATCAGATAGCATATACATTTACATCAGATAACATATACATTTACAAAGTTTAAAAAAGCGTTGTTTTTTTTTAGCCGGGCTCGATGGCTCAGCCTGTAATCCTGCGCCTTGGGAGGCTGAGGTGAGTGGATTGCCTGAGCCCACGGGTTCGAGACCCACCTGGGCAACTTGGCGAGACCTCATCTCTACAATAAATCAAAAAAATTAGCCGGGTGTGGTAGCGCGTGCCTGTAATTCCAGCTACTTGGAAGTCTGAGGCGGAAGGATCGCCGGAGCCCAGCAGGTCGAGACTGCAGTGGCCGGGAGCGGCTACTGCACTCTAGTCTGAGCGACAGAGTGAGACTCCAACTCAAAAAAAAAAAAGTTTTTTTTGTGTTTGTAATTTCATTTCCACATGTTTAAACAAACTTTTCTTTTGGGTGCCTTAGTCTCTTAGAATTGTAAATTCCCAGCAAATAATACAGTTATCTGTTGATATCTGTCAGGAATTGGTTTCAGGACCCCCCAAGGATACCAAAACCCATGGATGCTCAAGTCCCTTGTGTAAAATGGCATAGTATTTGCATGCGATCTGTGGACATCCTCTCTCATATGTCATTTCTAGATTACTTATGGAAATGATATGTGAATAGTTCGTTATACTGTATTGTTTAAGGGATAATGACAAGGGGAAAAGTCTGTATGCATTCAGCACATATGCATTCTTTTTTTAAATAATATTTTCTTTTTTAAATTTTTAAAATTTTTTTTAACTTTTAATTTTTTTATTTTAGAGATGTGAGGGGGCTTGTTTCTCTCTATAGAGCTAGCCACTCCCCCTTTTTTCTTTTCTTTAATAAACTTTTTTAACCACTGGAGAGAAAAAAGAAGTGGGGTACAATTTAGGGTTAGGTATACAAATGATCAGCAGGTACCCTTTTTGATGGGGTGTGCCCCCTCTTCCCTCCCAGCAATTCCCCACTACTGCCAATCTTTTTCTTATAGTATTACAATAATTGTTCAAAGTCCACTTATTAGTGAGAACATGTGATATTCAGTTCTTTGTTTCTATGATAAATCACTCAGTATAATCGACTCCAAGTCCATCCAGGTTGCTGTAAAGTTCATGATTTTGTTCTTCTTTATGACTGCATAATATTCTACCATGTCTCTGTACCACATTTTTTAAAATCCAGTCCTCTTTTGATGGGCAGCACAGGTGGTTCCATGTTCTTGCTACTGTGAACAATGTTGCAATACATATACATGTGCAGGTATCTTTTTTATAGAGTGATTTGAGTTCCTCTGGGTATATTCCCAGTAGGGGTCATATGGAAGGTCGATTTTTAGATCTTTTAGAAACCGCCACACTGTTTTCCACAGAGGCTGTACTAGTTTAGACTCCCACCAACAGTATAGAAGTGTTCCCTTTTCTCCCCATCCTCTCCACCATCTGTTGTTTTTGAGTTATTGATGATAGCCATCCTGACTGGAGTTAGGTGGTATCTCAGTGTGGTTTTAATTTGCATTTCTTTGATGACTAGTGAGGCTGAGCATTTTTTCATGTATCTGTTGGTTGCTTGTATATCTTCTTTGGAAAAGTGTCTATTCATACCTTTTGCCCACTTTGTAATGAGGCTATTTGTTTTTTTATTTTTGGTACGTTTGAGTTCTTTGTAAATGTTAGACCTTTGTCAGATAGACAGTTGATAAATATTTTTTCCCAGTCTGTGGGCTGTCTCCCCGTTCTCTTGATAGTTTCTTTGGCTTTGCAGAAGCTTGTCAGTTTGATGAGGTCCCACTTGTCTATCTTATCTCTTATGGCATGGGCACTTGGAATTTTGATCAGGAATCAGTTGCCAAATCCAATTTCCGTATGAGTGTCTTCTGCATTTTCTAAGGTTCTTATAGTTTGAGGTTTTATGTTTAAGTCTTTGATCTATTTAGAGTTGATTGTTGTGTATGGGGATAGGTAGGGATCTTGTTTTAATCTTTGCATGTGGTCAACCAGTTTTCCCAGCACCATTTACTGAATAGGTTCTCCTCTCCCCAGTCATTGGCGGTGGAGGCTTTGTCGAAGATGAGTGGGTTGAGAAATTGAGGTTTTGCTTCTGGAATCTCTATCCTGTTCCGTTGGTCTGTATGCCTGTTCTTGAAGCAATATGCCTGTTTTGATTATTGTAGCTTTATAATAAAGTTTCAAGTCTGGGGGTGTGATACCTCTTGCTTTGTTTCTTTTGCTGAGGATTGTTTCAGCTATTCGTGGTTGTTTATGTTTCCATATGAATTCTTGTATTGTTGTTTCCAGGTTTGAGAAGAATGGTGCTGGTAATTTAATGGGTATTGTATTAAATCTGTAGATTGCCTTAGGTAGGATGGACATCTTAACAATATTGATTCTTCCAATCCATGAGCATGGAATATTTTTCCATTTGTTTGTGTCATC